AAAATCTGTGGTTGGGGGCAGCTATCTCCAGGTATGTTGATCCCTTACCTTATCTACTCTCTCAATCTCTTCTTACCGTGAGGAAGTGAGTCCAACTTGAGAGTCCTCTCTTTTGGTGAGGTGTCGTGAGCGCGCTACCTTGAGAGACGACAATCTTCACGGAAGCATCTGGAAGGAGAAAGGGCGGTGCCTCTGAAGGGCCCTGGTCGAAGCACTTGGGTCACGGTCACCATGACAACCCACAGGGAGTAGTGCACGCATGCGATGGCTGCTGTCCTGTTTTGGCACTTGCTGCGCTCAGATAGAAGTCTTGCTAAGTGTGCCAGCCTTGTATGAGACGCTTACCAGACCGTCTATAAACATTTCTGGTTGGGTACACAGAATGATTCTGGCTGTGATCGTCGTCCTGACTGCGACGTTAAAGAATTCCTGAAGAGATGGGGCCACTCTATAAATTCCTCCTGATCAGCCAGATCATCCGTGTGTAAGGCTCGTTTCCGTACGAGGGTAAATAAGAGTGGGCTGGCTGGCTTACTTGGCTCTGACTTGGGCACAGGGGTGGGCCGATACACACACGAACACACTGCTTTGCTCAAGATGCTGTTCGGATGGTTGGATTGAGGGGAGGGTAGGTTCCAATTGGTGCTCAACTGTGTACACAACTATAACCATCAATCATACATCTGCTACATTGTCTTTTTGTACCTTTGATTAGTTGGTTGACGGACTGCTAACCTCACAGACAGATTAGTGTAGGACTGTTGTATGCTACCATAGCCAGTTCTAACTACTGCTGCTGTAAGTGAACCAATCAGGGTGCATCTAGACTATGTAGACAATCTGTGTGAATGTTGTAGACATGCCACTTGATTTGGTATAGTAGGGTACTCGCTGGACACAACCATTGTTAGAAAATTAGGTGCCGGTCAGATACATGCTGTGGTAGGATTCCACTAGGGGATTCTAGTGCATAAACTATCTACCTAACTAATGAGTGGATCAGATCCTGTTGATGATAGAGCGGACAATAGGAGACTTACACGTTCAGAAGCATTAAGGGTTCCGCACGTGTTCAAGACCTTGGACGAGGGAGAAGAAAGACGGCTTCGTGCCGAACGTAGAGCCCGTGCTCTAGCAGTAGGACTACAGGAAGCAAACAAAGTAGCAAGAGAGCGGGCAACAGCAGCCAGAGCAGCAGCAATGGCTAATGGTACCAGCTCTGCTGCGTCATTGTCTGCGTCCTCGTCAGGGACTAGTGGGACTCAGTTGGGAATGCCACTGAGTTCCACGAGTTCCTCGGGCACTTCCGGTTCAACAGGGTCTAGACAGTCTTCTAGTCAAATGGCGGGCTCACAGTTCAGCCCGTTGACCCCACGTGAGAGGGAACTCAGAGAGATCCAGCAGGTCGAGAGGCTCCGCCAGCAGTTAGAGGAGGACCTGAAAAAGGCAACTGATAGAGAAAGAGAGATAAAAAGTAGAGCGGCCAGACTTGATACGTTAGAGGCTGACAAGGCTGCGTTAGAGGGATTGGACGAAACGGGTTTGTCTGACCCCYTGAAAGTGTTGAAGAACAACATGTTGTCACTGCATGCGCACGYTRACAGCAGGATGGACTTCATGCAGAGCACTTTGGACCAGATCCTGGATGCATTGACAAAGCCAGGATTCCGGCCACCAGCACAATCACCGTTGCCGTTAACGGCGATGTCAGGCCCCTTTCCCGTACAAGTTGGCACACAGCCAAGTGGTACGTCTGCAGCAGTCTCACAGACTGTTGCATCTTCTTCTTCGGGTCCAGCGGTGGTTGCTACACCACCGCAACAACCTGTYTCTCAACAGGGACAGCAGCAAGGTCAATGGTACCCCAAGACCCCAATGAAACCGCCTCTTGCCTTCTCAGGCGAAAGGAAGGACGAGGAACTCAACACATGGTTGAGGACGGTCCCGGTTTGGGTGAAGGCCAAAAGGACCTTGCCAGAGGATGAAGTGGTAACTGCGGCATCTTACCTAGAGGGTAAGGCAGCCAAATGGTTAGATGGGGTAGTTGTGAAGGCCGGGTACGGGCGACGCATGGCGGACTGGGCCAAGTCTTTGACTCTAGACCAGTTCATGGAGATGGTAGAAGCTCCATGGCATAACCCACAGGAGGCGCAAAGGGCCACTGATGCCATAAATAAACTAGACCAGCGCAAGTTCTGGTCAGTTAGAGAGCTTACGACTACCGTTGAGAGCCTGATCCTAGTCCCAAGCATCAACTACAGTGACCAGTTCCTGTTACCTACTTTCATTAGATGTCTTCCAGAGAACATTGGAAACTTACTAGCCAGTGAGGCACGCACCGAGTACCACTCATTTGAGACATTGTCTAGGAAGGCTTTAGATTTGGAGGCCACGCTAGGCAATGCTCAACCCACCTCAGGAAATGACTCAAAGAAGAAGAAGAGTCCCCAAGAGTGGAAGAAGAAGGGGG